GCAGCTCAGCTTTCAAGAAAGTAAACGCCTCTTCGATTTCTGAAGCTCCGTCAAGTGCAGATTTTTATAGAGGTTGGCATTAAGTTCCACAGCACACTTGAATCTCCACCAGTAGAAACTCCGTTCTTGCACTTCTAAGATCTTGATTTGTCTGACCTCTTCCTTCTTCAACACTTTTGAAAATGTCTGGCCCCTCCGACCGTCGTTTTGACTTGAACCTTGGAGAAGAGACAGCCACGCCTTCTCCAGACAACATATGGCACCCATCCTTCATATCCCCTACTGGTCCTCTTACCGTTGGGGATTCTGTGATGAAGAATGATATTGCGGTGGTGGCCAAGAACCTTCTCACTCCCAAAGATAAAAGACTAATTTCCAAACGGTCTGATGAGTTGGCTGTTAAGGATTCTCTGGCTCTTAGTGTTCAGTGTGCAGGTTCTGTGTCTAATATGGCCCAACGTCTATTTGCTAGAACCCACCAAGTTGAATCATTGACTCCTACCATATGCTACTGCACCTTGATACTCGGAAGTCTCACGACCACTCAGTGACTTGGATTTTTCAAGTCTCCAAACGAGAAGTTTTCCTCACTCGGGAAATTAAGGGAGCACTACCTCAACCTACATGCTTCACTCACAAAGTTTCAACATACAAGCTTCAACAAAAGGAAAAATTCAAAGAACTTAGTGAAGAAGACCTTGGTGTATTTAACACAATACGTTGAAATGAAGCAAATCTTGTTTATTGATATTTCTGATAAGTTACAAATATGTACATATACATGAATCAAAATAAACAAACAAGAGGGAGCCTTCACAAAGGTTGCTCAGGGGAAGTCTTAGCAGTCGGTAGAGCCCCAGAAAGAGAAAGCACCGGAGGGTGGTTATCCGGAGCCTCAGTACTGGACAGAACCCCAGAAGGAGGAGGCATCGGAGGTTGATCATTTGGAGCTTCATTACGCGGTACAGCCCCAGAAGACGATGGCAATAAATGCCTTTGGAACAAACCTACAAACCGCTGATGATCAAGTAAAACATGACCATCAAATTCCTTCATCTGGTCAAGCTTCCTCTTCATGTTTGTAGCATAGTCATGTGCGAGCCGGTGCAACTGTTTATTCTCATGCTTGAGCCCTCTAATCTTCTGTTTGAGACTCATCACTTCAGCGGCGCCAAATGTTGATGCACAAAACTGGAGGTTTTGGAACAACGTAAATCCAACTGTGAATCTGCAAGAAATGTAAATAACACAAGATGTATCGTGGTTCACCCCAAGGTTTGGGTTACGTCCACACTGATTGTATTGTATTTCTCTGAGAAGTGAGAGAGAGAGAGAGGGAGTGAGAGCGTTGAGAGAGTGAGGAGCCTTATGAATTGACCTCCCTCAATTGTGAGGGTGAGGGGTCCTTTTATAGAATAAGGATTCCTCACTTATTACATATTTGCCATTTCCTTTACCACATAATTACATTTAAGTCCCTCAAGTATTTATATGAGGTTTAAATACGAGGCCCTAAATATGGTATAAACAAAAGTCAACCTCTGTAAGACTTTGTCATATTTCCCTACTTCGATTTCGAAGCAATAATATTATAACTCGAAGTTACAAACACGAGAATACACCTTGAGCTACTCCTATTCACAGGAATATAGGGTTCTAACCAATTTAACGGGACCTATTACGAATTAGAATTCCAGACCAACTCTATGGCATCCCAAGAATCTATGCAACGAAACGATTAAGGAAGAAGGATTTCGTACCAACTCAACGGAATCCATCATATATAGGGTTCCAAACCAACTCAACGGGCCACTCAGGAGCACAATGTAACCAAATAGGTAGTGACCTTCTACAAATGCAGATTAACCAAGCAGTGTCACCCTAAAACGTGTATGGTCCCCCCCCTTGCCCCTCAAAAATGCGGGTTAACCAAATAGTGTCACCCTAAAACGTGTATGGTCCTCCAATGCGGATTAACCAAGCAAAATTATAGCTATGCATCTAACAATGTTACCCCTAAATGCAGATTAACCAAGCAAGACCACCCATCAACATAATGTAACCAAATAGGTAGTGACTCCCTAATGTGGCACCATGCAGGACCATCTATGTACCACACTGTTATATGCACAGTCATATTATCACACATCATGCATGATACGTCCCACATCATACGTTAGCTCAACATAAATGCCCATTGTCGGCACATACACTATGGATTCCACACGACGAATAAATATATAATCAAACATGCATATCAGCTCAGTTCTACGAAAGATTTCTAATATGATTCGTGACTCATTTACTCATACTAGCAATCACATATTATCATTACTAACATCTAGAAGTCCAAACCATGTAAATCCTGGTAAAGTGTCCTTTGCACGCATGCCTACGTGCACATCATCTAGGAGGCACGCTGTCCAAGGTAGACTCACTAGACTCTATCGGCATTGTAGTAATGCTAACTTCAGCATTTAAGAAAAATACGAAACATATTGACCAAAAGTCAATTTCCTAGTCAATGTGGTTATCAGTAAGGTCAAATACTATACGTAATCCAATCTGGAAAATCTGTATATTAGATTTACGATCTTTAAATTCCTAAGAGCATCACATTATTCGCATAACAACATTATAATTTCATGATGATCTAACAGTCGGATCTCCACCGCCATAAAGGTCAAGTGGCAGTCATTCACATGACTAGGCTTAAACAAGGAAATCTCAGCAAATGGGTATCAAAAACGGATTCAAGGCGTCAATTATCTTAAGAAGACAAACTAACTCCAAATTTCATCAAAATTTACAGGAATGTAACAACTTTTATACCTGCCACGAAGTCCAAAAGTGATTGGAAGATGGTCAATTCCTTTGGTAAAGGTCCAAAGCTCGCCGCGCCATCGCTGGTGATCCTATGACAGTGAAACTAGTCGGGTTTTATTCCAGGGTACACATATAGTGTACCCTTAAAGATATGCAGGTATTATTCTTCAAGTATTTCCTTACCCTGCTTTAATGTCACAATTTAGGCGAGTTTTGGGTGAAGGACTTCCTAGTCCCATGGAATTGAGGCCAATTTATTAAGGAAATGAACCATGAAATGTTTAAAAAGGTCGTACCCAGTGCACAAGGCTCCCGCTTTACACAGGGTCTAGGAGAGGTGAATGTCGGCTAGCCTTACCCCCATTTATGGAGAGGCTGCTCCCAAATTCTTCGCACAGGCATTTGCAATGTGCTTGCGAAGTTCATTTCTAATCTCTGCTATCTGACATTTTGTTGTTCATTCATCTCTAACTTGCATCAATCCCTTGATACTCTAAGATCTCTCACCCAAACATAGTCACGATGTCTTTGGAGTTAAATGCAGCTATACAAAACGTAGTTGGTGCTAAAGCTGGCGGGCCAGGTGAATAGCTCCTTGTGAACAGTGGACCACATCTAACATGGAGAAAGTGGGAATGGGAAGAACTTCTTGGTGTTCAATTGTACTTTATAATTATATCCTGCTTGGATTATACGTCTCAAGGAGCTGCAAGTTGCAACTTTCGTGTAGCCCCAAATGCTAACAGAATTGTATCCTCTGCTGACATTGACTCTCGGCTTTCAACTTTTTTATTTTTTCAACATTTGGCCTGAGTGCAGATAAGAACAACAAAGATGTGTTTTCCATTAGTTGATCATGCACTAGCGTAACCAAACGTGAGTTAGATTAGTTGATTGGGTAAAGAAGAGTGTGAGTACATGAAGTCATTTAAACAAGTAAAAAACTTCATTAAGTCATGGCTTGGGCCAGATCAACGTGATTGTTTTGTTTTGTTGTGCCTCGGCGTTTCAATTTCATTTGTGCAAATGTCATTAGACTCATTACTCAATCATTAGCAACAACGTTTTAGTTTATAACACTAACACACAAAAGTTCGACTCTCGCCTTCCTCCCTCCCTCCCTTCTGAATCAAAATAAGGACAGGAAAGCTACAAGCAGAAGACAAACTTGACCCTTAATTATAGCTGGTAGAGTTCGTTTGTAAGACCTATTTTCTTTTGGTAAATACACGTGAAACTTTTTAAGTGTTGCGTTAAGGACTCGTTTGACACCGCCTTTAGAGTTGCTTTCAAATACCGTAAAAGCACCTCTAGATTATAAAAGCATTCCCAAATAGATTCTAACAAAAGCGCTCGAGAGCAGAAGTGCTACAGAAGCATTCTCAAATGGGTCTTAAGACACTAATCAATGCTTTGAACATCTTGACCTGTAAAGCAGTTAGACCAAACCAGGTGGGAGTAGGGGGCACTGACTTCATCCATTTACAGCTCAAGCAAGCTTCCAAGTTCTTCTAAATGCGCGAAAAAATGGACTATTTCGGGTCGTGCCCAACACAAGATAACCAAATTTGGCAGTAGGCCTGCCTACACATTGGCCACTAAAACCAAATATAAGACCAACTTCAGCACATGTTTCATGAATCTGCTTCTCCAGGTTGGAGCTTCTACAGCTCCCACAAACAGGTCGATGCAATGGGGCCATATGCTTGCACAAACTAACAGCACCACTTGTGCTCTTCCCTCACAACTTATGGATCCCATGTGCTTTCTAGTCTATGACACTCACCACCCGACATAATTTCAGTATGCAAGCAGAATCACGAGTTACAGATACGTAAGAGCTATGCAAGATCTTTTAAAATGACATAAAACTCTTCAATCTAACAAACAATTTAGATTGGAAGAGCAATCAATAGTCAGAAAATGTTCCACTCTGAAACATATTCACGCACAACTTTACTGTGAGGTCGTACCCAGTGCACAAGGCTTCCGCTTTACGCAGGGTCTGGGAGAGGTGAATGTCGGCTAGCCTTACCCCCATTTATGGAGAGGCTGCTCCCAAGTCTCGAACCCGAGACCTACCGCTCATGGGCGAAGGCACTTGCCATCGCACCAAAAAATTTACTGTGAGGTATCATCAAAAAATTTATCATCGAATAAGTAATAACAAATGCTGCAATTTATCAGAACTGACATTATTATTTAAAAGAGCAAAGACTAATATAGGTTGATAATCAACATATTAACGTTGAAACATTTAATCACAGCTTACGAGACAAAGAAATTTACCACGTACAAGTAATGAAGTCCGGACACCTAGGAACCGTCATCAAATCAGATGAACTACCATGTTTCTTATTATGAAGATATTTTCAAAAAGACGTGCTCCTACTAAGTTTTCCTGATCCAAAAGCACTTGTTCCTACGGGATACATCCAAACTCTACGATCACCCACAATGTTGAGTTGCACTCAACTATGCTGATCCAAAAGTCCCTTCAAGTCCCTGCAATGGAATAGCAGAGGTGCACAACTGTGTAAGAATTCAACATATGCAAACACTTACTTGGTTATTCCCCAACTTCATGCTAAAATTTAAAAACGAATAACATTCTTAAAAAAAAATTATATCCATCCACTGTACGTTCACCATGTGAGGATGATATTCTTCCAAATTAAAAGTTTTAACAATCAAACAGATAACAAATGTCAAAATCATTTGTGCACCATAACATAACTTGAGTGCAGCAAAGCATTTATGTTTAACATAAAGTATCAGATTAAAAAGTTGCATCTAACAGATTGAAGATGAAACCATATAAGCTTATATCAAACACTGCCATTTCCTTTAGTTCAACAAAAAACATTCCTGCTCTATTATTGAATTTGTGAGAGCAACAGAAGAAATCATACACCAATGATAATCAAATATTTGGTAATAAATAAACAAGTAAAACCAGCAAGCAAGGTTCAAGGTGCCAGCTATAAAATCCAATGGTCACTATAAAATCCAACGGTCACAATAAATATGTCTTCTCTAAGAATGCATCAGAAATATAAAACATGAAGCACCAAAATTAAATAAGTAAAAGCTGGTGTTCCAACTGATAAACAAGAGAAGAAAAAACAAATACATAGGTCCAATCAATGAGTCATTCCCACTCCTCTCTTCATACTAGCAATCAAATTATGCACAGGAAAGCTTGCTAAATTGACAACTCTGTTTCCTACTTAATATGGAAAAAATTGATCAAAGCTTATTTAGAATAGCCTGAAAAAGGAAAAGAAATATTAAAACCTGTTACTGAAGCGCATTATTTTGACCAAACAGCCCTCTTTTTACTCAAATTCACAATTGAAAAGTTCAATATCTATGATGTCCAAAATAGGGATTGAAAGAAGACCTACACCAATTGATCATTCTTCTGCCGCCATTGGATGATTGGACGTCCTTGCGCGTCACCCATCTTTTCCATTCCTCCCTATCAATCCCAACCCCAATTTGTTCTTATTAATCAATCTTAACATACTTACAAATCCTACCTAGTTTATGAATCATTCTATCATTCAACGGCACTCTGTCTAGAGGTAAATGAGGCAAAGACATTTATTCTACTCTAAGGCACTCCTGGGGAATAAGCAGAAGGATTCAAAACAAAATGGTAAAAAAACAACATTTCTTTCATTTTTGTCATGTGTCCTAGAAACAGCAAGACTCACAAAGGGACTACTAGCGATCCTGACAAGTGCGGCAGAAGGTACCGTGTGACAACTCGCAACAACCCCGCACGTTGGCAGCCAGGTGAGATGTGAGGCAGGTTGCAGCCGTCATGCGGTGCATTGGCAAAAGCGATTGTATGCATCCCAGTTCACCCAAGTTCCTAAAAGAAACAAAAGAAAGCCAGTAAAATGAGAAGATTTTTCTGTTATACCTATACCACAAATAAGTATGAAAGGAATTAAGACACATTTTTGCTCCGGAAAAATGTAAGAAACCGCTATTTTCTTTTTGGGAACCTAAGAACCCACTTCTTGAGATCGGAGAAGGCAAATGTAACCACAGAAATAATGATCCAGGTGATTGCTAAAAAAGAAGAACGGATAGGTAAGATTTTCTCTTCCCATCAACTCCAAACAGTGAAAATTAAAAGAAAGACAAGATTTTGCATTTAAATTTCATTTCTTTTACTAATTGTGAGCCAAAAATGCGCTTGTTTTTCCCATACTGTAGATTAAAAACCCCAAATCACCAACATAAATAAATCCAGTACAATTATGTCACTAAATTTGTGAATTACAAATCAATAAATCAACAGAAACCATAGGAAAATAACAATTCATTGATTCGCATTCACTTTTCTCCAATTTCCAGAAATCAATCAGAAATCAACGAAAAGGTGAACGAGAAAACTAGAAAAAATAAAGAGGAGAAATTGAAAGGGGAACCTGGGAGAAGCGAAGAGGCGACGAGGAGTGGAGAGCGACGGCGGGCGGAAGCGACGGAGAGGGGGCGCCGAGCGGAGCGACGAAACCCTTGCGTTGGACACCAATGACCGAGACAGCGAACCAGCTGAGCGCCAAGCCATTTTCCGAGTTACTGTTTGCCGATAGTGGCGAGAGAGGGCTTTGTGAGGGTTTTGCTTTGTGAGGAATGGCGTGGCGCAGTTGTACGACAGTCTTTCACCGTTGGATTCTTAGCGATTCATCGGGTACTGTTAGATATTTTTAAAGAGCAAATTTAGCAATGCCCTTCAATTTACGAAGTTCTTAATTTGACCCTCAACTTTCAATTTAGTTACGACTTACGGGTCTCATAATCGTTTATAATGTGTCAATTTGATCCAATTGTCAAATTAATCAATGCTTTATTTCAGTTTTGCGCACTTGCATTAACGGAAATACCTTAATTTGATAGATACATATGTTTAACGTTCAAAGACATATTTGCACATTTAAAAAGATTGAGGGTTCATAACCAAATCGAAAATTTAGGGATACCAATTAATCAAATATATATGACTTTCACATAAATGTTTATTTAGGAACTCTTACATATTATTGATATATACATGGCCAAGGGATTGTAAGTATACAACATATGAGAAACTAATTCATGATACCAACTTAACCATTCATTAGATGAAAACATTATTGCTTGAGTTAAAGGGTTCTTCTGCAGCTCTACACTACTCGAAACAAGGCTCAATCAATGGGGCTTGAGTATCTGAAAGCTTGTGTTTTTGTGAGAGCGTAGGGACCCTAGCTTTATACTATAAACGATGGAGTTCAGTAAGGACACTTCCCATTATTTAATCCTTATCAAACTATCTTATCATTGTGAAAACTCTAATAAACATATCAGATAATAGAGTCCTAGTTCTATCGAGATTGCTTTAGGCTATTATCCTTATTATACAATTTCTGATAAGCCATTTCCCATAGCTATGGTTAGGTTCTACCCTACAACTGGTATCCGTTCGGTCTGGCTAGTTTTCCAGCCAATACCGGCTATTGAATGTCTTACTGGAAAAAGTAGAAAAAGTTTGCTACAACTGCAGGGTTTGGTGTTTTTCTTTTCTTTATGTAGGCTGTAGATCAGTCACATGATCATTACTCAATGTCATCAATGATATGTTTATTGGAAAAAAATCAATACGATGAATTTAACCTTAAATCTTGACGATGATATTGTTAGCATATATTAGTTAGAATATATAAGTGGTTAGGATTGTGATTGGTGTCAATGGATTGTATAAGTTGAGTTAGTTATGCTGACATGTATTTATAGGGACAAAAACTCTTGTAGTAATTCATTCATACTAATAAGAAAAGTTTTGTTGCAGATTTTCTTTCTCTCTCTTCGAGCTCTATCTCTCTCTCTCTCTAGATTTCTAAGCTTTCATCTTCCATAGCTAGTGTTGACATGGTATCATCGCCAATCACGGGTAACACCATTGGTTGACGATCCTCTGCTTCCGCATCTTTCTGTACTGATTGTTGTTGTCGGTGTTGGTGTTGGAGCTCATCATCGTTGTCGGTGGTTGAAGTTTGTCAATGTTGTCGTTCGTCAGTGATCGTCGCGAACCCTAATTTTTGGGATTCTTCGTTTTATAGTTGGTTTTCGACTGTGCTCTTTCATCTTTGTGCTTCAAGAATGTGATATTGTTCTTCCTCATATCTCACAGATTGTTGTTGTGATCTTGATTTCTTGATAAAATCTTGTCTGAAACCCTAATGTTTGGGAATTTATTCTCTTGACAATCGTTGTTAATTGAAAGATGGTAGCATAATTTTTGGTGTGGATTGTTCTACTCTGCTGTAGTATGTGGATTGATTCCGTTTGTGAATTCCTTGTATTTGTGTTGCACGGATTGTGAAAATGGTTATCTCTACTCAATTGGCACTCACTCAATCGCCAATTTCATCTCTAATTCCTACTGTGGGTAATACTGTTACTGTCAAACTTGATGACTCTAACTATGTGACTTGGAATTTCCAAATGGAGTTACTACTTGATGGAAATGGCATTTTTGGGTTTCTTGATGGTTCCATTCCATGTCTTGATAAGTCTGAGTTGGATTTTGATGCCTATATTGTTTGGAAGATACATGATAAGGCATTAATGACACTCATTACCACTACCTTGTCAACCGCTGCGTTGTCTTGCGTTATTGGTTGCAAAAGTTCTAAAGAAATGTGGACTAGTCTTCGGGAAAGGTTTGCAAATATGACAAGGACTAGTATTGTTCAGTTGAAGATTAATCTTTAGAATATTAAAAAAAAGGCCTGAATCAATTGATGCATATCTTCAGAGGATTAAAGATGCTAGGGATCATTTAGCTGTTGTTGGGGTTGTCATTTTTTATGAAGACATTACTATTGTTACATTGTAGGGCTTACCTTCTGAATATAACACTATCAAGTCTGTCATTCGTGGACGAGAAACTTTGGTGTCTTTAAAGGAACTAAGATCTCAATTGAAAGCTGAAGAAGACACATTGAATGAAGTCACTAAACAAGTTCCTCTTATGTCTGCTATGATGGCTCATAGTTCTACTTCTACATATGACACTAGTGGTACATCTGGTACAAAGGCCGATTGTTTTGGAAATGACTTAAGTGGTTATTTTGGACACACTTCTGGTCCTCCGTTATCCTATTCCACTATGCAATTTCGGCAAGTTCCTCCGTTCTCACCTATGCAATTTCCACAACCTTTTCCACAGCAACAATTTTTTCCTCAACAACTACCCTTTCCTTAGTTTCAACAACTTCATTTACTTAGACCATTGGCTTTTGTTTCTCAAAGTGGTTCCGGTACATAAAATAATTTTAGAGGAAATAATTTCAAACAAAAGGGTAAAGGCAAGAAATTCTTTTCTGGTAATTAAGGACAGTCTCCACAGCAGTTATCATATGGTGGAAATCAGTTTTCACCACAGTCACAACCTTATTTAGCATCAGGACAACAACAAATGATGTCTCCACAGAGTTATAAACCACTGCATAAATGTCAAATATGCGACAAAAAGGGACATTCTGCTATCAATTGCTTTCAACATGGCTATCAAATATGTTATAGAGTAGGACATACAGCTGCTAATTGTTTTGACATAAATAATTCTTCATCTCAGGGTTCTCAGCCACCACAGTCTTATCAGAGTTATCAGCCACCACAATCTTATCAACAGCAATTCGCACAGTCATATCCTTAATAGTGTCAGGTTTCACAACAGTCTATCCACTCAAATGGTCAACCATCTGGCATGTCTTATCAGAATTCAAGTAGTGTGCTTCCTCCATTTAATTCCTCTGTTGTTATGACTGCTCGAGCTAATACAAGTCCATATGCACCTCAGTAAGAGTATTGGCTTCTTGACTCAGAAGTTACTCATCACATGACTTCGGATATTTCTAATCTTCAGATGGCATCTCTTTATCCTAATATAGATACTGTCACTGGTGCTAGTGGTGAAGGTTTGATCATTGCTCATATTGGCAAATCTAACCTTCTTACAAAGTCTCACGATTTTAAACTTAATCTGTACTGCATGTACCTCGATTGTCACAACACTTGTTGTCTATGCATCAATTATGTAAAGACAATAATTGTATATGCATCATTGATGAGTTCTCTCTCTGTATACAAGACAAGGTCACCGAGAGAATATTGTTCACAGGACTGAGTAATCATGTAGTTTATCCCCTACCTGTGCTCAAACCAAAAAAGGCCTTACCAGCAGCATTTCTTGGTCAAAAGGTGTCTTCTACATTGTGGCATTGTCGAATGGGTCACCCTACTAATCACATAGTTAAGACAGCACTTAGTAAGTCATCAATATTGTAACTCACAACCTCAGTCTTGTATTCCTTGTTTGGAAGGCAAATTCACCAAACTTCCATTCCCTTTACATGCTTCAAAATTTGTAATTCCATTCGAAATAATACATACAAATGTATGGGGGCCAACACCTTGTATGTCAATTGAGGGGTATAGATACTATCTCTTTTTCATAGACGAATGTACTAGGTATGTGTGGAGAAGAACCCTCTAACTAGCCCATCATCCATAGTTTACCTAAATTTGTCCAAAATCTGTTTTAGTTTACAATCTGTTTGTTTTGTTTTCAAATTCGTCAAAATCAAATCCCCCTTTACTTTAAAGTGTTTTATTAGTCAAAATCTGTTTTGATTTGTGTTTTTAAGTGTCTTGAGTCAAGTTAGAACCTAATTTTGTCCAAAACCATCCCTAGAGTCAGTTTAGAGTCTAATTCATTGTTTTAAGCTGTTTTGAGTCTTTTAAACTAGTTTTGAGTCTTTTTAGTTTGTATTGCATCTTTTGAGTCTTGTTTGGTGTTTTAAACTTAATTTTATGTTTTTAAGTCAGTTTAGAGGTTATTAGTAAGCCCTCCTAATCCCCGGTCCAGAACGATCCCTACTTACATTCTTTACTACAATTGATACAAGAGGGTTTAATTTGTGTGTTACGTAATTTTCACATCATTCCCAAAGATAATAGACTACTTTCCAAACAGTCTGATGAGTTGGCTATTAAGGATTCTCTGGTTCTCAGTGTTCAGTGTGCAAGTTCTGTGTCTAATATGGCCCAACGCCTATTTGCTCGAACCCGCCAAGTTGAATCATTGGCGACTGAAGTGATAAGTCTTAAATAGGAGATCAGAGGGCTCAAGCATGAGAATAAACAGTTGCACAGGCTCGCACATGACTATGCTACAAACATGAAGAGGAAGCTCGACCAGCTGCAGGAATCTGATGGTCAAATTTTACTTGATCATCAGAGGTTTGTGGGTTTGTTCCAAAGGCATTTATTACCTTCATCTTCTGGGGCTATACCACGTAATGAAGCTCCAAATGATCAACCTTCGGTGCCTCCTCCTTCTGGGGTTCTGCCTAGTACTGAGGCTTCGACTAATCACCCTCTGGTGCCTTCTCTTTCTAGGGCTCTGCAGACTGCTGAGACTTCTTCTGAGTAACCTTTGTGAAAGCTCTCTCTTGTTTGTTTATTTTGATTCATGTATATGTACATATTTGTAACTTAGCGGAGATATCAATAAACAAGCTTTGCTTCATTTCAACGTATTGTGTTAAATACACCAAGGTTTTCTTCACTAAGCTCTTTGAGTTTTTTCTGTTGTTGAAGCTTGTATGTTGAAGCTTTGTGAGTGAAGCATGTATGTTAAGGTACTGCTCC